ATAGTGTAGACCAGGCCTAAGATAAAGATGAACCAGCTGTTGGTGGAGGTGCTATCTGCACAGATCATTACAACATTCCCCACTTCCGTTTAATAAGAGTTTGAAAACAGCAACCAAAATATTACTGCTGAAACTCCTAGGAATCCAGGTAGTCTGCCATCCACGCGGGTTTCCGGGTTGGTCTTCCCTCTGAAGCCTTGTATTTAGTCATGGACACATCAATTTTGGTTTTGTTTTAACAACAGTGGTAGGGGCTTGGCATGTTTGGCATTCACTTTGTATTCCCTGGTTTTCAGAGGTTTAGGTTTATCCACTTTTCAATCTGGAAGGGCATGAGGCAACTTGGCATACATTAATGATTTTGGGAGGCATCTAAATAAGGGATAGACACTATACGTCTCTACTTAGTGCCCCAGTTCCAGGAGTCATGTGATTACAGCAGAATCTCAGCTTTGATTAAAAGAAAACTCTCATCTGTTATTTTTACAGAGGCCAAAGAGTGTGCTTATTCACCTAGAAAGGAGAGAAATTCCTGGTCTCCATAGGACACTCCTCAAATAAGGAGACAAGGTCCTTGCCCCCAAAGAGTTTACAGTCTACATCACGGGTAGGCAATCTATGACACGCGCGCCAAAGGTGGCACGCGAGCTGATTTTCAGTGGCACTCACACTGCCCAGGTCCTGGCCACAGGTGCGGGGGGCTCTGCATTTTAATCTAATTTTACATGAAGCTTCTTAAACATTTTAAAAACCTTATTTACTTTACATACAGCAATAGTTTAGTTCTATATTATAGACTTATGGAAAGAGACCTTCTAAAAACATCAAAATGTATTACTGGCACGCGAAACCTGCTGACCCCTGGTCTACATATTGGATTTGGTTTGCACTTTGCAGTGCAGAGCTGGAAGATATCGTGTGTAGGAAGCTAGAATCCCTGAGGAAGTTGCTGTGTCTTGAGGCGAGTGCATTGTTTCCATATCCAGCCATTTTATCGCTTCTTGCAATATTTGGTGCTTTTCTTAAAGCCTTGCTCATGGAATCAGGTGATCATGTGAGAATCTCTGCTTTAATTTTTAAAAAAGTGTTTACTAACCTTCTGTAAAGGTTGTTCTTTGAGATGTGTTGCACACGTCCATTCCTTCTAGGTGTGTGTGCACCCCAGGCACAGTTGCTGAAAATTTTCCCTTCAGCAGTACCTGTCATTAAGGCACCCAGCCATCCCCTCACCTCCTCCGTTCCTTCTTTCCAGAAAACTACAATGTAGAGGGCAGGAGGGTGGATCACGGAATAGACACATGCAATACACCTCGAAGAACAACAGTGTTACCAGATTTACCCATTACTTTGGGGTACGCTCATTTATTAGGGTTACTCTTTGGGGGGGAGGGGTTCTGTAATTCTATCAATGTACTGCTTGTGTCACTTGTGTTCTTATATGGAGCTCTACTTCTCCCTTCTACAAGTCCCCTCCCAATGGAGCTATCCTGCAGGACCGAAGTTCCCCAGGGCTGGGTTCCTCCAGCCCCAGAATCAGATGAACACACACATTAACAGAGCGTATCTGAGTGGACCAGATCAATCAGCACTCTCAAGCATACCCCTTATATGTCCCTGGACTCAGCAGGCTGGGTCAAGCAGCACTTCCAAGCTGCCACCCTCATATGCCACGACCATGGCACCAGAACAGAGCACACCTGAGTAGGCAGGGTCAAGCAGCATTTCCAAGTTGCCGCACTCCTATGCCACAGGTTCAGCATGTCCCTATCCCCACTTTCCCGTTACAATTGTTCTGGTAGTAACCCACTTGATGAGAAAACCCCACAGGATTTTTGGGCGCTGCAGGGATCTTTAGCTTAGGTAAGAGGAGCGTTGCTGCAGAGCAAATGGGGAAGCCAAAAACACAAAAGAGAGAGAGAGAGGGAGGGAAGCAACCAGCTTAACCATAAAAGTTATTTATTGCCAGGTAATAACCATTCAAGGAAAACCAAACAAACAATACAGCCAAATACAAGTGTTGGGATATATATATGTACACACACACACACATTGTGATTCATATACCATGTAATATGTTATAGGTCATTGAGGCCTGGTATGAATGACGCGTGCTTGACATGAATACGTGCGTTGAAAGTTGGCAACTGAAGCAAGAACTTAAGGTCAAGGACTATTAGAACTATTTGTGAAAAAAACAATCTTATGTTCTGAGAAAAATACAGAAAATCATCAGAAAAGGAAACAAAACCAGCTGGACTGATATAAAATTGTATAAGAATTGGAGGAAATGACACGCCTTGGATCATGGTGGCCAGCCCAGGATTGTCTCTTTGGAATTGTGTGGGTAGAAGGCCTAGTAAACAAAGGCAAAGAACCGATGCAACAGAATGCACTATAAATGGTTGCCTATGCTTTCTGTAAATCGGAATCGTTTATTGATCCAGAGCCCCGGGTGGATATGGATGTGGTTTTTGCCGGCTCCCAGCATCTTATGATCTTCTCCTGATGGAAAGAACCTCAACTGACCATTGGGACTATTCTGACCTTTGGACTCTGGTATAGTATGTTTGGGGTATGAATGTAGAGTGAGAAAAGTTTGTTTTGTAATCAATAAAGAGCATTTAGAGTATTATATACCAACACTGTGTCCGGTATCTACTTGCTCCCCATCCCGTAGGGAGACCTCTATTGCGGGTCTAACACAAGGTCATCCACCTAAGAACTAAGAATGCTGGCCTTGGCTGCAGAATGGGCCACTGTATCCTAGAAAGCAGTGACTCGGAAAAGGATTTAGGGGTCACAGTTGACAGACATCTGAACATGAGCTCCCCCTGTGATCCTGTGGCGAAAAGGGCTAATGTGATGTTTGGATGTGTAATCAGAGGAGTAATAAGTAGGGCGAGAGTGATTTTACTCCTGTGTATCACATTGGTGAGACTAAGTATCAGAGGGGTAGCCGTGTTAAGAAGTGAGGTTCTTACCCACGAAAGCTTATGCTCCTAATACTTCTGTTAGTCTCAAAGGTGCCACAGGACCCTCTGTTGCTTTTTATTGGTAAGACTGATACTATAATACTGTGTACAGTTCTTGTAGTCACATTTTACAAATCATATTGAAACACTGGAGAGAGGGTACAGAGAGGAGCCACAAAATGATCACAGGGCTTGACAAAATACCTCACAGTGAGACACTTAGAGAGCTCAATGGGTTCAGCTTCTCAAAAAGATTCAGAGGTCAGATGATTTGATTACAATTTAAATGTCTTTAAGGGGAGAAAATGCTGGGTCCTAAAGGGCTGTTTAATGGAATGGAGGAAGAGCCACTGCCAATGACTGCAAAATGAAGCAAAACAAATTTGAATTAGGAATAAATTCCCAAGTTTTAAAGGTGAGGGTGATTAACCACTGGAACAAACTTCCGAGGTAAGTGGTGGATTCTCTTTCTCTTGAGGTCTTCAGATCAAGGCTGGATGCCGTTTTAGGTGTTCTTTAGGCAAACAGAGGTTATTGGGTAGCTGGGTGAAATGTAATAGCCTGTGATATACAGGAGATCAGATTATCTCAAATATAGATATATAAACGTATGGAAATCATTTCCACTAGATCGCACTGAGACTTGGAACTCATGGAATTCTGAAAAAGCATCAGATAGAAACAGAGATAATGAGAACCTCCAGAGTTACAATAGCTGAACTAATATATAATGTATAGATGAGGAATCTGTTTCAGGGCACAAACCAACAACTGGTTGACAGGATTAGGCAGAAACTTTTGCTAGGGACAGATTTCCCCATAATTGTCCACTACGGGGTTTCCTGCACATTCCAACCAAGTGTGTAGTGCTGGCCACTGTCAGACACAGGACTAGCTGAACGACTGGTCTGCTCTGATGTGGCTATTGAGACTGAACAACGCCCTGGCAGTTGATGAAAGAAGAAAGAATTGATTTTGCAGACGGGTAAAAGAAGCGGGGCTCAGATCCCAGCTCTTCCCAGTGAGAGGGAGGAAGCAGGCAGCTGAGCAAAAATGGATCCCCTTAGAAATTCTTCAGAAACAAGGGATTTACCCCCACAACCTTCCAGAGAAAAAGCAATGTGTTCCTTAGTACTAGGAGCCATGGGGGTGTTTTGGTTGTGAACTACCGTGTCACAACAGTCCCCAGCACAACCAAAGAAATACACAAACTCACTGTTTCATAATAGGCACACCCACCCTCACTGGGGCATTCATGTTTAATTAATAGCACACAGAGTTAACAGTGTAAAGTAGTGCTACTTTTGTTAAATCAGTCTATTGAGAAATGAAAAGATCTTCTTTGATCTGTAGTCACTTCCCCTTAATGCCTCACACTTCTGGGACACTGTCCTCCATCCTTATGAAATCCAGTCACTATTAGGCCCCATTCCCATTACAGGTAGAAATGTGATCTTGTAAGTGGTTTGAGATGGTTGCTGGTTAAGTTTGTCATCAGTTAATGAGACCTCAGATACCTCGGCTCAATCACTTTATTGATTAGCAATAAAACAGCATAATACAGAAAGGTCAGACATTACCAGTGTAGAGAACAGTCTTTCAGTGACTGTAGTTTACATATTTCTTGTGTTGATAATCAACCAATAATTAATAAATGACTAATAATGGATAGGAATTTTAATTGTGATTATATATTTAATGAATAGCCTTCTCTTAAATTTAGATTTGGTTAACAAGTCAGCTTTGAATGAATTTATTAAACAGTCAAGACAGCACATACAATTACTCACAACTGTAGAAGGCCTTCTCTGTAGTTTCAGACAGTCTGGATCCTGTCTGCCAATGGTCTTACTTTCTTATGATTTCTTGTTGTAGTTATACCCTGGTAACTCCTCTTAGTTCAACATTCCAACCCTTATTTATTGCCTCCTCCTAGTGCATACTTTCCCATATCTTAGAGCTTGTCTCCACTTACCGGGGGATCAACGTGCACGATCGATCCTCCGGGGGTCAATTTAGCGGGTCTAGTGAAGACCCGCTAAATTAACCCCCGATTGCTCTCTCGTCGACTCTGGTACTTCAGTGGAACAAGAAGTATAAGATAAGTCGATGGGAGAGTTTCTTCCGTTAACAGAGTGCGGTGTAGACACAATAAGTTCACCGAAGGTACGTCACCTGCATAACTTAGGTCGACTTAGCCCCGTTGTGTAAACCTGCCCTTAAGGCTCTTTCCTCAGTTCCCTCTTCCTTGTAATTTTCCAAGTGTTTCAACACCAAGTAGTTAATCATGGTTTATGGCCTTTTTTGGACATTTTTATTCATTACATATCTTGCAAATATGTTGCGGTTAGTACATTGCAAAAATATATCTTATATAAAATATGTCATCAGTTACTGCATTGTAAAATTCCATTCCTTGCTAGATAGCTTTATGTTAACTGCAAAGCATCATGGGACTCTTGTCCCAAGGCAAGCCGTAAAATCTTTTCTGACCTATCTAAGTGTCAATACCTGTGTCTGTTCCAATTTGTTTATACCGTCACATATACTCCAGTTGTTTTCAACCTAGTTACTTCCTTGGTTTGTTCATACCACTCATCTCCCTTACCCAGCAAAACATTTAGGACTTGCAATTAATGGTTAAAACATCTGCAAACAGATCAGTCTCAGTACCTCTCCATTCCTTATTTCACCAGCAAGCATAGCAATCGGTCACACATATCCTTTATACATTTTGCATACCTGCAAAGCCTTAGGGGACTTTGTCTCATAAGCTAACCAATCACACTCAGGCTTAACTGGTTGTAAGTTTAACAGGGCATTTTCTGTTTTCCAGGTCATACCCAGCACTCTGCCCAACTGTGTGTTTTAGGAGTAAATTGTGAAACCTTTCAGGCAGCTATTCCATACAGGATAAGTAGCAGGTCCCTGCACCAAGGATTATGAGTACTTTTTCCAGACACCTTCAATGGACTATGGGATGCACAGCTCAGGGAGGGAGTAGCACTTGCATTACCAGTTACACTGGCCCAGTTGGGGTACTTGCCTTACAGGAGAAAAATCACGGTGTGCCTACCCACTTGGAATAGACTGAACTGCTAGGGATGGAAGATCCAGGTGAAGATGCACTTGTTGGCATCCCATTATTAACCATATGCCTTTGAAAGTGAGCTGTATCTTTAGCCAATAATGCCATAGCCAGTTAGTGCATGGTAGAAAGCTGTTGTGAGGGTGGGGTAAGGCTGACTTACTCCTGTTCACCTGTTACCTTGAAAACTGCTCTCGCTAAGAGCTTGCCTACACGTGGAATTTAACTGGCATAAAATATACCAGTGTAATTATGCCTCTGTAACTCTCCAGGTTGACAAACTTATTCACAGGAAGTTATGCCATTATAACCGTACTTGCAAAATTATACCAGTACAACTTCCAGAGTAGATAAACCCTGAGAAATGTTTAACAAAAATACAGTTGCCTCAGTACCAAATACAGAGATAAAATAACCTTTCTACTCCTACTCGAGATTCCTGTTTATGCATCTCAGGATTGCATGAGCTTTTTTGGAGACAGCATTGCACTGGGAGCTCATATTCAGCTGATTATCCACCACACCCCACGTTTTTTTTTCAGAGTCCCACGTTCCCAGGATAGAATCCCCCATCCTTTAAGTATAGCCTATATTCATACATGTATATATTTACCTTTAGCCACATTAAAATGCGTATTGTTTTCTTTTGCCCAGCTTGCAAAGTGATCCAGTTCACTCTGAATCCGTGACCTGTCCTCCTCATTATTTACCACTCCCCCAATTTTTGTGTCATCTGCAAATTTTATCAGTGATCATTTTCTGTTTTTTTTCCGGGTCACTGATAAAAATGTTACATAGCAGCAGATCAAGAATGGATCTCTGCAGGACCCCACTAGAAACACACCTGCTCAATGAGGATTCCCTGTTTACAGTTACAGATGGAGACATCTCAGTTCGCCAGGTTTTAATCCATTTGTAGAGTGCCATGTTAAATACCCGTGTCTTCGCAATGTGCGGAGGATGCCATTTTGTTCTGTAGTGTGTTCAGGGGCTGGATGGAATCGTCCCACTGGCACAGCCAGTCAGGAAGTCATATTCAGGGCTAACATGAGAATGCAATCCATGCATTGCATCCATAGATGGCACGCCGCTGCTCAGCTTCCAAAATTCAACTCCACTCCCTTGAAATTCCCACTAACCATCCCCAAAACCCATTGACAGATCAGTTCCTCTCTTCATCAGCTTTGTCCCCCTCCGACATCTCATTCCCATGATCATAAATAAGGTGATACTACCAACCCATCCTCCTTAAACCTTGTATTTTAGAATAAGTATGAGTGGAGAAATGTCTCACCAGAATCAAAAAAGTACCAGCCCATTATTTTCTATCATTACAATTGTAGATCTATTTAATCTGAAGTTACATTTGCTGGATGGGGTTTCTTTTTTAAGTGGACATTTGCCAAGTGTTTAAGGAGATTTGATCGGTCATTGAAGCTTTTCCCACAGTCAGTACATTTGTGAGGTCTATCTCCCCGATGCACAGACTGATGCGCGGTAAGGTGGGACTTCTGAAGAAAGATTTTCCCACATTCAGTACATTTGTGAGGCCTCTCTCCCTGGTGTATTAACTGATGCTGGGAAAGGGCGAACTTCTGACGAAAGCTTTTATCACACTGCGCACATTTATAGGGCCGCTCTCCGGTGTGGATCCTCATGTGTTTAGTCAGGGTTGATTTCCGCCCAAAGCCTTGCCCGCATTCGGTGCATTTGTAAGGTTTAGCCCCTGTGTGGGTTCTACAGTGACTGGTAAAGTGTCCTCGCAGCCTGAAGCTTTTGTCGCAGTCGGGACACTGATAGGGTCTCTCTTCCCTGTGGATTCTCTGATGCATAGTAAGGTATGAGTACTCGCTGAAGTTTTTCCCACAGTCAGTACAGCTATAGTTTTTCTCCTCTTTGTGGGTCCTTTCATGTCTACTGAGTATTGACCTGTACACAAAGCTCTTTCCACAGTCTGCACATACATAGGGTCTCTCTCCGGTATGGTTTTTCTGATGCCTTCGAAGGTGAGCATGCTGGTGGTAGCTTTTCCCACATTCAGCACAGCTGTAACGTTTCTCTTCCAGGTGGGTTTTCTGATGCACAGAAAGAGCTGAGTTGCTACTGAAGCTTTTCTCATTGTCACCATTTGTGCTTGTTTGTGCTCCGGTGTTGGTGCCCTGGTGGGCGATGGTGCTTTTCAATTTCTTGGAATCTCTCTCGCGTTGATTAGATATACTGCCTCTTTTGCCTGCAGGGCGTCTCTGCTGCCTTCGTGCCATGCCCTGACTTCCACAGCCTCCTACCTGCTCAGGACCCCGGGGTCTCCCCGATGATGTCCTCTGTGGTTCTGCTCCTGCAAGCCCTTCCCGCTGGAGATTCTTAGCTTCATCTTCACTCATGATCCCATCATTAAATCCTCTAGGTTCCTCTTCTTTGTGGATTCTCTGATGTTGAACAAGTCTCTCTCTTAGGACAAATTGCTGGCCACAGTATGGACACTTATAGGGTCTCTCCACCCTGTGGACTATGTAACGATGATATACAAGGATTGTCTTCGCTCTGAATCTTTTCCCACACTCAGTACATTTATAAGGTTGTTCCATTCTGTGACTCATGGTGTGATCTTTGAGCACTGAACTCCGACTGAAGCTTTTCCCGCATTCTTTACATTTATAAGGTCTCTCTCCTTTGTGAGTTCTCAGATGTATCTGAAGGTATTTTTCTTGGGTGAAGCTTTTCCTACACTCACTACACTTGTAAGCACTCTTTTCTGCACCAGTTTGATGATGCTTAATCAGGAGAGAGCAGTCATTGAAAATTTCCCCAAGTTCAGTGTCTGTATTTGGTCTCTTCCCCATGCAGTCTGTATGCTGTGTGCTGGTGTCTTTGGATTTCCTTAAGCCTGTTTTGCTGCAAGTGGATTTACTTTGTCTCGAGTCTGGAGGGTCTCTGTGCTGCTGTCTCACCTTGCCCCTACTCTCACTGGCATCTCCCCACTCAGGGCACTGGGGTTTCCCCGACAACATCATGTCTGGCTTTGCTCTCGCAGACCCTTTCTTCTGGGGATTCTTGTCCCTGTTCTCACTCACAATCCCATCGTTGAATCCTCTAGATGCCTCTTTGTTGTGGATTCTCTGATGCTGAATAAATCTCTCTCTCAGAATAAAGAGCTGGCCGCAGTCTGGACATTTATGGGGTCTCTCTGACTTGTGGACTGTGTAACGGTGAAGAACAAGGCTTGTCTTGTGTCTGAATCTTTTCTTGCATTTGTTACATTTATAGGGTCTCTCCCTTCTGTGAATTTTCAGATGTATCTGAAGGTATTCTTGTTGAGTGAAGCTTTTGTCACACTCACTACACCTGACGGCACTCTTTTCTGCACTAGTTTGCTGATAATGTTGAATAAGAAGAGAGCTGTTACTGACTCTTTCCCCCAGTTCATTGATGGTATTTGGTGTCAACCCAATATGGGTTACCGGGTGGGCGCTGGTGTCTGTGGATTTCCTCAAGCCTCTTTTGCTGTGAGTAGATTTACTCCTGCCTGGAGAGTCTCCTCTCTGCCGCCCCATTCTGTCCTGACACTTGCTGACATCAGCCCCATCAGGGCCCTGCGGTCTTCCTGAGAACATCCTGTGCATCTTCACTCCCACAGCCCCTTCCTGCTGGGGACTCTCCTCCTTGTTTTCACTTGCTGCCCTGGTACCTGTTGGGAGAGAGAATCCAGATGGGATTCACTGCATGTGCTGGGAACAGAGGGGGCGGTAAAGGGATTAATCATTGATAACAGAACCTGATAGGCAGGAAGTATATTCCACCAAGTGGCAGAGGAGGGGTGAGTTCTGCCTCAAAGTCTCATCTGAGCCCTAAGAAAAAGGCTGAGGGAGGAAAAGGCTTCTGCCAGGGATCAGGCAGGACGATTGGGAGCCAGGAGTGACACCTGCCATGAGGACAGGACATAATAGTGAGTCAGATGAGATGGGACAGAACAGGGAGAGGACTCAGTGGGTTTGCTGGGATCCCAGCTTTTCCAAGCCCCAGATAGTTTCTCAATTGGTGTCACTCATTCCTCACTTGTCTTAGTGCCTCTTGGGATTTCCCTTTCCGCAGAGCCCTGGAGATCTGGGAGCCACATCTCTTCCCCTCGCTCCATCTGGGATAGCACATCTGGTTTAGCAATCAGAAATTCTGCTCATTGGAAAGAGGTACATGCATCACAACATGTTAAGTATTCGTCGATCACTTAACTACAAAGAACATTCCAAGATGTTCTTTGCTGAAGGGGAAAGACATAATTCATATAGTTTATAAAAGATTTAGGCCATGTCTACACTACGGGGACAATAGCAACTGCTCACCCAACAAGAGGAGAGTCTCATAATTCTCCTGCATGACATCTCTGTACAGTTCCTTCTGCTTTTCATCTAAAAGAGCCCATTCATCTTCAGAGAAGTACACGGCCACCTCCTCAAACATCACTGGCATCTGAAATGACAGGGGTCTCCCACTCAGCACCTGTCTGGTCTGGCCACAATCCCACCACTCAGACACAAGCTGAGCAGCAAAGGGCAGAGCCATCACCATCAACGCAGCATTGGAGGAGGGGAAGGAATCCCATTTCCCACTCTCCAAACCTCCTCCACTCAGCAAGAGATGCCAGACTCAGCCTGCCCATCCCTACAGGGCTCTTAGCCCCAACCCAGGCCACTCAAGCAAGCACCTGGAGCCACAAGGGAGCCCCATTCAGCACATGCTTTTCCTGCAATAGTCTCACCACTCATTCATGGGATGAACTGCCAGGGGCGAATCCTGACCAACGGGAGGGGCATGAAGTGAGCTACCCAGGATGTTGGAGAAGGTCCACATGCACAAGGCACCTCCCAAAGAAAAGGGTGTGATTATTTTATTGATGGGGAAGAAAAAGTTGGAAAGACCATTGAGCAATGGAGGAGCCGGGAGGAGGTGAGAGGAATGAGCGAGGACAGACAAGGAAGCAGCATGGCCCAGGAGGAGGAACAGTGCGGACCGTTTCACAACTCACCATACAGCCGAACCTATGGAGCGAGGCCACCATATCCTGGTCTCCTTCATTCCCCTTATCATAAGGAACAAACAAATAGGGCGCAGGAAGATCTAAAGGATTACAAAGATACCGTTAGAGGGATCCACACAGACACATATGCTCCTGGACCTCACGACTCTATTACGAACAGGGATTCACCCAGCCTCCATGTGCCACTAGACAACCAAATACTGTTCCGATGATTTCATGCAGGCTGCCTTGGGGACTCCCCTCCCTGCTGTGCTATCCATGCTCCCCAACATCACATGCATCTCCACACACAACTTATTACCTAGTTGCTGTGAATACTGCAGCTTCTCTCTGAGGTCACAGCTCAGTTGTGGTCCTGGGCGGTGGAACCTCTGAGACCTTGAGCTGGACAGGGGCTCCATCGTCCCAGAAATCCCTTCTCTTCTGATCACACAAACTGAGACCTGGGAAACATAGATGTTGTTAGCTCTGTGTGAGGGACAAAGGTAGCATCTGAGGGGCAGTGACAAGTGGCTCTCAGATTCTCTATTAAACAGAGTTATTGAAAGCCAATGGGCCTGCCACACACAAGAAAGGGGCTCTGTGTCCCCCCACATTTCCATCTTCCAGTTTTCACCAATATCAGTTGGGTTCTGCCCTTTGATGACTAGAAGAGATCCCTCAATTTTGTATTTCTTCCTTGTAGCCTTCTGCCTAAACCAAACCTTCTTCCTTCCCGTGCTGCTTTTTTCTTCCTAGTGAACCCTTTCTGAACTCAGGTGATGTTACCTCAATTCTACCTTTTATTTGACTGGTCCTGGCACCTAGGAATATCAGATCACAATTGCACTCCTGCAGGTAGGTGGCTCTTTTTATGCTTTTTAATTAACATTATTATTATTTATTGGTATTACCCTAGAGCCCAGGAGTCCTAGTCATGGGCCAGGATTCCATTGTATTGGGTGCTGTACAAAGAGAGAGAAAAGTGACATTCGATTCCACAAAGAGCTTCCCTTGTAAAATAATCCCTCTACATTTGAGGGGCATCACTCAAAGGGGTATCCAATTTTCTCATGAGTCTGAGTTAACAGAATTTTATTTAATGAAAATCTTTTTGTTTGAACCTCGACCAGATCCAGATTTAACTGTTCCTCTTTCAAGACCCCTTTTAGACCCAAACAAAGCTTTATACCCGTGCTCTACATTTTCCAGTGTACTTGTCTTTTTGGTAGTGAGAGATTAGCTCTAGTTTGATTTAATTGAGTGCTTTTCCCATAAGGAGCTCCACTCATCATCATATCAGAACTGTTAGGTTACCTTCGGCCTCTGTGTCAGACAAAGCCTTGTCATAGGAAGATGCTGAACTCTGAAGTAACATGAAAATACCCAGAAAACCATCTGTTCTCTGTTTCTTGTTAAATGAGAGAGACAGTATATATGATTTACCTGTGTCCAGCTTCATGGTTCAAGATGTATTTGTCACATTTAGATCGAAAAAAGTTTTGACCCTCAAAACTGAGGACACACTTTATTTTACATTTCACATTGATCATTTGGACAAGGGTGCCTGTTTCCTAAGCCATCTCTTACTTAATGGGTAGTAATTTCCAAACCATGCTAGTATAACCAAGGTATGGACTAAATCTTTACAAATTCCCTTGGTGCATTTGTTTAAAGACATTGGCCAGTGGGCAGCAATCTTTAATTTCCCGTTTCAGCTAGGGAGAAATTTAGATTACACTGACTAGTTTAAAAGCAAGGCGGTCTGTCACTCTCACTTCCACAGCCTCCTAGGGACGGTCAGGAAAGTTACAATATGTCTACGAGCCCAGCATAGCCCCCTAGTGCAGAGGCAATGTACACTGACAGAAGTGTTTCTGATGGCAACTGAACACCTCCCCGAACAGCATTAGCTATGCTGCTAGCAGCATTTTTCTTTCAGCATAGCTGTGTTCACACTGGGGGTTTTGTCAGCATAGCCACGTTACTGAGGGTGTGTGGTTTTTCAGCCCTGACTGACAGACCGACGCCGGCATAAGTTTTAAGTAGAGACCAGGCCTTAGTGCCTCTTTTAGAGTACAACCAACTTTTGGCCGCACACCCAGAAGTGTAGCTGGTGCTCTTGCTTTTTCACTGTTTCTTTTGCCTGGAAGATGTTTACCTTAAACTAAACTTTACAGAAGCAAAACATAAAGGGATAGTTCCAATAAATAACCCCAAAATTCCTTGTTGAATGTAATTAATACTCCAATTGTATGGAGGTTAGTCTGACTTTGCATTCACAATTGGAATTGCAAGGTTATACATGCCAAAAATAAAACTACCTAAGCATAACATAAGATCTTTTAATTTCTCACTTGCATTTCATAGAATTATAGAAATGTAGGGCAGGGAGGGGCCTCAAAGCGTCATCTAGTCCAGTCTCCTGGGCTAAGGCAGGACCAAGTAAACCATCTAGACCATCCTGGACAGGTGTTTGTCCAACCTGTTTTTACATCCTCCACTGATAGGGATTCCACCACTTCCCATGGAAGATTATTCCAGAGCTTAACTACCCATCTTGTTAGAAAGATTTTCCTAATACTCCCGGACCTAGGACTGATCCCTGCGGAACCCCACTGGATACACACTCCCACTTTGATAGCGGACCATTGATGATTACTCTTTGAGTAGGGGCTGTCAATAATTTTTGCATCCACCTTATAGTAATTTAATCTAGATCACATTTCCCTAGTTTCCTTATGATAATGTTATGTGGGACTGTGTCAAAAATGTAAGTAAAATTGAGATCATAGAATATCAGGGTTGGAAGGGACCTCAGGAGGTCATCTAGTCCAACCCCCTGCTCAAAGCAAGACCAATCCTCATACAGATTTTTACCCCAGTTCCCTAAATGACCCCCTCAAGGATTGAACTCACAATCCTGGGTTTAGCAGGCCAATGCTCAAACCACTGAGCTATCCCTGCCCCATGTCTGCAGCTTCCCCGTATACATTAGGCCAGTAACCCTCAGCTTGCTTAGTGCTAAGTCAACAACCAGCATTAAAAACATTTTTTAACCTTTTACTAAAGGTACCGAGGAAAAAAAGAAAAAACAATTAAGCAATTTGAAATGTAAAGTATGAAGCAAGGCTTTCATTTCAACTATATCCCTTATTCCATTTTCCTTTAGCTGTAGAGAGTTTTTAGAAGAGGGGGAAGGAATCTTTTAGATGGTGCTAAGGATGGTAACAACCTTCCTTTTTGTGGGGGAAGAGAAGAAGTTAGTTGAAATGGGCTGAAGTTGCGGTTTCTGTTTTTAAAGTCTGCTCTCGTGTCCGTGAAGACAGAACAAGACAAATGCACAGAAAAGGGAGAGGTAAGAACAAGACAGACAGAAAATGCAGTTCTGTCTCGTGTGCTGACTCTTACTTGCAATCTCGCTGCTGGAGAAACAGAAAAAAGAAAAAGGTAGTTGGTTGTGTTTTAAGGTTTGCAAATTCCTCATCCCAAAATTGGGATTTTCAAATCTTATTTGATTGGATGCTACAAAAAAAAAATCACATTTGAACCTGATGTTAATAAAGATAAGAACTTACAACTCACTTTATTTGTAGCTTTATTTGGCTTTGTCCATATCGTTAGTAATTTGTATGAGGTGAGTGTTTTTACAGGCCAATAATGACTTTAACTGTAACTCTAGTGGGGGAATGTAGACAAGAAAGGTGGGTGTACTTTGGATAGTTAAATCCTGATAGGCTGGGTTGGACTGGAATTAATGGTGATGTTTTTAAAAGTGGGAATAGGGGAAATAGCTTGATTTCCTATTAAAGTGGGTTGCTTTGGAGTAAAACAAAAATTTGGTTTTGTGACAAGACACTTTAAGGAACCATATTGGTACCTCTTTGGATTGGTAACCATGCAAAAATGGCTATTTTTAGCATAGGTTACCCTTTTTATTGGAGTTTTTTAATTGGTCAGCCTTACCAGGCATGACGATGAATTTTGTAAAAAAAAATTCTGCAGTTTACACAGAACAGTGATTGTCTTAAACACGTTACACCTACAGATATACGGAGGCCCTTTTTTAGAGCAACAGGCCATCTGTGGTAATTTTCAGGTTTGAGTTCGAGTGTGATAGACCACCAAGGGAGGTACATTAACGTGTTTCCTACAGATGTCGCCTTTGAGGTGACCTATAGAATGGACAGCTACCAATTGCCAGTACACATCCTTGTCTGGGTTAAATACTGGTAATGAGACTGTGAATGAGACATACAAGGATCGTGCCATTATACAATTTTTTGAAAAAGAACAACCGTTTTGGTTAGGGTGAGGTGTTACAGATCCCATCTTGTTAATAGCACCCACTGATAAATGCCGGCATGAATTTAAACATGCGGATTGGGGTTTGTTTGGGGTTTTTTTTTCAGCGTTTGAAAACATTTGGGACAGTACCAACTTAACAGTTGCTCATTTTTAATTAAGTTAGGAACCTTTCTTAATTTTAAGGATTGTAATATATTAGTGATTACATTTACAACGTATTTTCCATATGCGGAGCATATAATCTTTTTTAAGTGTTGATTCCTGTGCTGATTATTGTTTTAAGCGATTAGCTGATTAATTTTATGTTGAGTTTTATTAAATAGTTGGGTTATGTTATGCATATTATGAACAGTAAATTGCTTTTTCTGTGACAATTTTTTTATTTTTTGTAACATTGGATTTAAATATTCGCTTGGTTTTAAATTGACACTTTTGAATTAAATAGTTCTGTTAGGGATTTTAAACTTTTAAGGAGATTTAAGCTACGCTTTCTTCTAGAGGTATGTGATTTATGGAATTTATTATTAATTCCCAACAGAACAATATTTTGCACTTGTTGATGTGAATAAAATTGCAGCCCAAGTTGTACTGAGAAAAAGGAAGCCACTTTGGTATGCTGACAATAGCTAATTTTTTCTAGATACAAATTTAACACTACAGGAATATGCATAAACTGAACCTGATTACTTTTTCTATTATGGGTGTTGTGGTGAGACCAGTATCAGGGTCTGGGTTTATTATTGGACAAGTTACATTATTTGGTATTGGGTTATTATAATTATAGTTAATACTTGGATTTTGAACCTAAAGTTCAAATGTAACATTTAGTACACTTTTTTGCTTTCTGATTTGGTTTGAAAATTAGCTATAATGAGCATTTTATATTGTTCTTTATTTTTATATTTAAGTTTAGATAAGGTTAAACTCCCCCCCCACACACACACCATTATTAGATTATTAAAAAAAAAGCCATTTGTAAGTTTTATAAGGTATTCTGTGTTTTAGGGAAGTTGAATTTGTTGGTGAGGAGGTATACATTTTACATTCTTCCCCCTTTGAGTTATTATTTAAAAGGCCAAATGTTTTTCCAGCCATTGGATGGCAACGAGATTACTTTAACCAACTGATATTTAAAGGTGACATTTTTCCCTTTAATTTCCTTAACCTGGTGTAGAGGACTGTGGATAAGTTTTGGGTTGAGTATAATAGTTCGTTCCTTTTGTGTTGGTATGTTTTGTTTTACATGCTTAGGCAATTGAGCACAACAGTGTAGTCTGGTTTTATGGGGTTGTAACAGTTTCGTTCCAAATTTGTGATTTTGGCTTAGTTTTACCCTTAGAGCAATGATAAGGGTGTAGTAAATTAGAAATATTAGTGTTTCTTTTATGGTTGCAATTTGCTGGACTTCAGCTGTGGTGATTATGTTGGATGCTGTTTATTTAAGTTCTGAGGAGGAAGTTGCTTCTGTGACCTGAATGATTGATAGAGCTTTAACTGATTAGCATGGTAGATTTTGTTTTTATTACACTTGCCTTCTCTTCTTTTAATGTTATGCACTGCTGAACTGAGTTTATTGATGACGGAAGGGTCCAATCCATTGGTTACACAGCCCAGGCTCCGGTGCTTTATATGATAACAGCATTACTTGGTTTTCAACCTTTTATGTTTTTTTGTTTTGTTTTTGTTTTTATTAAAGTAAGCCTTTGCCTTTTGTTTGGATTGTCCCAATTTAGCTGCTACCTGCAAATGGACCTGATTTAAATGTTTTTGCAGATTTTGCAGGCAGGTATCCATTTTTATTTTATTTGAGTGCCACTGGTGTGCCAAATTAAATGGGGAGGCAGTGACTTGGATCTCTGCAGGCATGAATTGTTCTGGGCGGCATCTGCAAAGAGAGGAACATGGTCCCAGGCCCGTACAAGGGGTCCAAACACATAACCCTGTCGAGGGGCACGCCCACTTGAAGGGCCAGGATTATTACGTGGGTTAGGGTCATTTTGCCAACACTAGTACCTAGGGAATCTAGGAACACCTCAGCCTAACCATGGGGGTCCCCCAATACTAACAGTGGGATTAGCTTGTGGTTCCTGAAGTATTGCAACTCCACGCTGACCTATTTCAGGGCCTCCCTGAGAATATGCCTTGGCCAGTAAGGCTAATGCCTTCTTTAAAGAAGTGCTATCATTTATATGCATGTTCCCCATTTTCAGGAAAAGGTTAAGAGAGTTATTGACCAACAAACTACCATATGATGGCTTATCTGTTTTCTCTTTTATGTGACTGTGCCATGCTGCACTTAACCGCAGGTGAAATTGATTGGGGGACTCATTAGGTATCTGCTTTAGGTTAGACAGGATGGCCACTTCAGCTTGTCCCGGATGCGGATTATGTTCCAATAAGGCTACTGTCTCTTTAAAAGATCTCTCTCCTACCCTAAACTCAGGTGGCAAAGTACTCCATAATGCTCAATTCACTGTGAGGAGTTGTAAGATTTTAACCCAATCTTTTCTTGGTAAGCCAAACACTTTTGCTGGTTTTTGTACATGTTGTGCATGCATTGCAACCGAAAAATCCTCCATCATTCCCACTACCAGATCTAGTATCTGTAACAACTGCTACATGGCAATCAGAATTAGAATTTGAGGATCTTTTCTCCGGGATCGGGATTTAGGCTTTTATTTGAGCTTGAATCTATAATTTTTATGTTTTGACTTTTTCTCCCCAATTCACATTTTTCCCCTCGGAGCTATTAGAACTTTCCTCTGGAAATAATCCTGGATGAGCAGGATAACTTTCCATAAAACCTCTACATCCTACACTCCAGGCATCTCCACACGGACGCAGGACATCTTTCAGTTCATTAAGATCTGATGCAGTAGGGTGTTCTACCGGTACACCAGGTAATACCAGCATATACCAAGGGTTTGTAGAGGGTTCACAAAATTCTAGGGACCTAGGCAATGTTGATGATTGCCCAAATGCCAATAAGTGTCCACCCAAAGGGGCTGGGTCTCTTGATCTATATGGTGCTGATGTAATATTGGGTGGAGGAGCAGGAATTGCATCCCTTGGTTGTTGTATCTTTCTCTGTTGTAACCTAGAGATTACTACATCACAGGCATTAGCTACTCATGTCATTTGTGACAC